CTGCTTCTTCACCAGAACTTCATCGCTGCCTCCTGCGGGTCATGAAGAATACTGAAATTGAATGGGATATTTCCCCCCAAGCCTAATTTCAAAAGGGGCAAGGAGGGGCTGTAGGTACCAGGGAAATCTCCTGGTGGGGGCATCTTCACACTTGAACCCCATGGGGCAACCCCAGAGCTCCTGCTTTTTCTGGAGTTTGGGGAAGATAGCATCCAGGGAGACTCCCCTCCTGCTGTGACCAGCTCCCCTCTCCCCTGGTCTCCTAGAGCACAAAGGGAAATCCAGTTCAGACCCCATGAGTCTGTACATGATATTAAGAGGTGTTGTTTTTTTGTCCCAACATGCACCACTTTAATCTCATTGACAATGAGCTGTAACTGTTCATTCACTCCCTTTGAAGAAGTCCTTTTGGAGCTCCTTGCAATCTCTGTTTGAAAAACCCTGGAAAATTTGCTGCCATCAGCAAACTTTGCCCCCTCCCTGCTCCCTCCTAAGTCTAGATCATTTATGAACAAGTTGAAAAGCCACAGGTCCCAATACTGATCTTGAGGGGACTCCGCTTCTGCTCCTCTCCATTCAGAGAACTGTCTATTTACTCTCTTGGTTTTTCAGAAGGAGGGCTGCCTTCCTGGTGGTGGGATGGCGATGAGCAGAAAGAGGGAGAAAAGGGAGCAGACCGGAAGGGGAGATATTGCAAGCTGAGGAGGAAACAGGGTTTGGTGAGCAGGAAGAGTCCGGGGCAGAGAGCAGTTCAGGCTCAGAGGGATGAGAGGAGGGAGCCAGGAGACCCAGAGGAGGCCGGCTACTGAAGCATCCAGGGAGACTCCGACCAGCACATGCCTTTGAGTCTGGCGGTTAGAACTCTTAGAATGTGGGGATCCCATTTTTCAACCAAAGCCAAAACAAAAACAAAAACCCGCTAGCCTTTTCCCAGGTCTTTTCTGACCTGACAGTCGTTCGTCTTCTCTACGAAGGTCTCTACAAAGTCCTTCTTCCTCCCTTTATTTACCATGGGGTCCCAGCAACCTTTTCTGCCTCTTAGACTCTAGGGAAAAGAGTCCCTTTCCATTGGAAGCCTGGCAGCCCAGTGCCAAATCCGGCTGCTCCAGAGAGAACGGAAAGGAACTGTAAACGCCCTTGCGCTCTGATGCGCACCAGTCAGTTCCTTCCAGATCCTGGTGCTGCCGGTGCAGCTGCATTTAGGAGAAAAAGAGAAATTGGAAACCGAGCCCAAGTCCCTTGCTATCCAAACTGGCCACTGGGACCAGCCTTGGGGCGTCTTCCTTGGGAAAAAGGAAAAGTTTCAGATCTCAGGTTCCCCGACAGGGAATGAGAGCTTTGATTAGCGTTCTCCCCTTGCAGTTCATTGCCTCTCTAATTGCAGAACCCCAATTCTCCCCTTCTCCCCTCCCCCTCCACGCTACCTCTTGCCAGGAAGGCTGGGAGTGAAGACCGTAAGCAAAAGAGACAGCCAAGGATGAGAATCTGGGTTGCTGGGTGTTTCAGAGAATCCCGCCCACAATCTTCTCCATTCCTAGACTCACGTCCGCATGCGCTGCTCCTGGCCACCCTGGGGTCTTTTGCTAGATTAATTCATGACTGGCCTGGGGCTGAATTAAACTACCAAAAAACTAAATTACTGACGAAAAGCCTCACAATGGAAGGGGGGGGGGAGAACTTCAAGAAAAAACAGGCCTGGAAAATAAATATAAGGTTAAATACCTAGGGATCTGGATTTCAAATAAAAGTTTAAATGTATATGAGGATGATTCTAGTAAAGTATGGAAAGAATTTTTTAAAAAAATATATGGAAACCTGGACCAAACTCCATCTCTCACTCTGGGGAAGAGTCTCGGTTGTGAAAATGAATATCCTCCCCAAAATGATTTTCTTATTCCAAACAATGCCCATTTTAGGAGAAATGAATTGTTTTAAGGAGTGGAAAAGGGAAATGTCTAGATTTATATGGAGTGGAAAGAAACCGAGAATTAAACACCAGTTATTAACAGATCAAAAGGAGAGAGGAGGTTTTGCATTGCCAGATTTGGAATTCTACCATGCGGCGGCAGGATTGGTTTGGATAAAAGACTGGATTACACTAAAAGATACGGACCTCTTAGACGTGGAAGGCCACGAGAATCGGTCTGGATGGCACGTTTCTTTAATATATGAAAAAGTGAAGGTCCACAGGGGATTTTTGAGCTATGTGAAATAAAATCTGGAATAAATATAAAGGAATACTTGAGCCAAAAATACCCTTGTGGACATCACCAAGAGAAGCCGTATACTCATGTTAGAATATTTACAACTAGCAAAACTGACGGGAAGAGTTAGTGTTGTATTGAACCAGAAAATATTTGGAGAATGGAGAATATTTGAGGATTATAGAAGATCATATTGTACCAACCACACCATATTAGCAGAACTTGAGTGATACTTGTAAACACAACAAATGCTGTTTGTGGAGTAGACCGGAACAATATTAAAGAATATAAAACGGGGGGGGGGGGGGGAAACAACGGCAGTATAAACAGTACCATGAGAATGATTGAAAGACTCATTTTGTCAGGTCTTTTTTATTTAATTAGGAAGATAAAATTTTTCATGCACATAAATCTGCTATTTCTTCTTTCCTTTTTCTGTATTTTCTTCTTTCCTTTTTTCTTTGTTGTTTATTTTAATGTTCTTTTTTGCAGTATGAGATTGCAAATTCTTTGTATATGTGTGTAGTTTAAATCAATAAAGATTATTTTAAAAATAAATCATTTTGTGGCTGGCCTGATCAAGCGATGCTTCCTCTGGTTAGCCCCGCTGGAACTCCTGTTCTTTCCAGACCCTGGGGGCACTAGAGGACTGGTGGCTCCTCCTGGCAAATGGCCCGGTACGCGCTGGATCACCGGTCCTTCCTTGCCCCCCCTTGAATCCGGCCAACCGAAGGTCCCAACTGGGGTGCCTTCTTTTGTTGGGGGCTTCCATCTTGTTCCACCTGGGGGCAGGTGGGAGTCCTGTGGCAACAGTCTTCAATCAAGACCAAGCCGACTGGCTGCTCTTTTGCTCTGCTATTCCTAGCTGGTCTCCTTGTTTCTTGTCCAAGGGAGCCCTCAGATTTTGGAATCCGCTTCTGGCTACAATTGTATCGGCTGCTTTGCTGAGCCTCTTGGCTGTTGTGCAGGGACGGGGCCTGTGTCCACGGTCCTTGTCCTGGCCTGAGTCAGAGGCTGGGGTGGGGAGCTGGGATTTGGGGGGAGTCGTTTAGCTGCCCCCCTCCATTCCTGGTTTCAACAGCACCAAGACCTAAAACACAGAGGGATCTAAGCTCGTGGGGTTGGGGAGGGGAGGATGTTGCACTTGTGGGGGGGACCCCTCTTTGCAGCTGGATCTCCAAGATCAGCCCCCCCCCCTCTCCTGATCCACTAAAGGAAAAAGGGAGGGGGAAAACTTCCTCTTCTCCTCCCCCCTCAATACTTTCCCTCCCCTCCCGGCATCTCCTCCTCTCACCCCGCCCCCACAAGCCCAGATCCTGCCTCCAATACACGGCTCCTCCTCCTCTAATCCGGCTTCTGCTCCAGAAATGAGGGGGGGTGAGCCCCCTCCCACCCTGCCTGCTTCTCCCGGAAGTGGAGCTTCCTCTCCGGATTGCTGCTCTGCCCCACAGCTCTAGGGGGACCCTAGGATGTTGCAGGAAAGGAGAATCGGAAGCGAGGAGAAAGAGGTAAAGGGGTCGCGGGGGGGAGGGGGGAGAAAAGGAACCAGAGACCCCTTCCAGCTCCCCCAAGCGCCTTCCATGGGGCCTGGATCCCGGCACGCCTGCTGCGAAGGGGCGGACGAGGACTCCCTGGCCCCCTTTCCCCCGCGCAGGCATCCCTGGGGCGCGGAGAGAAGCGGGCCAGGAAAGAGTTAAGGGGTGCGGGAGGCGCCTGGATAGAGACCCCCCCTGTCCCTCCCCGGCTCATCTTGGGGGGACATTAGGGACGGAGAGATGGCAAGGGGTGAGCCAAGGGGGTGTCTGGGTGCAGGGGAGACTCCGGGATGCGAGGGGGGCAAGGGCGGGGGGAGGAGGGGGCACCCCCGGGGCAAGGAAGCGCAGCATTGGTGGGGGGGGGGAGACAGCTGGCGGGGCCGCCTTGGCCAGCTCTCACTTTCATACATCACTACTAGGAAAACCATAGCTAGAACTATAAGGACCTTTTTTGGCAAGGTGATGTCTCTGCTTTTTAAGATGCTGTCTAGGTTTGTCATTACTTTCTCCCAAGACCCTAAGTTGCTACTGGACTATTTTTGTTAATTTCTTTACTTCAACTGTGTCAGACCAATATGTCTACCTACCATTAACTACAGTTATCTCCTCGCCTTGAATATCCTGCTTTTCAGGGCCAGATTAGGATAGTCCTCTGTCAGAAGACAAGCACAGGATCAGGCAGCACATCATCATTATAAAGAACCATTGGGTGGGTGTTTCCGTCTGGGATTCCCATGTGCCAGCTGCTCTCCTTCTGTTTCTCCTGCTCTCTCCATGCAATGTGAGGCATGTAGACAGAGGTCCATCTCCAAGAACAGGAGCTTCCCTGAGCACCCATTCAGCTGACCCCAAGCACCAAGCCTTGTCACTAGTTCTCTGCCTGACCCAGACCACAGTCCCTGGAAGACATGAAGGCCTGGGTCACCCAAAAAGGTGCATATGGACCTCCTGAGGTCAGTGGGACTATGCAGGTGATTCATGAAGAACTAGAGGTGGAAACGGAGGCAACCACTTGATTTGAAAGGCAGTCCTACAGGACAACAGTATTCCAAGTTCATGCTGTGTTATTAAAGATGATTGAGGATTATGAAAGTTTGCTGATGCATTACTACCATTTGACATCATATCATTTTCATTTCCTAAAAATTGGGAACATGGGTAGGACATGGGAGAATGTAGGAGATGTTGAAATAAGAGAAGGTGCTAATGGCGGTTGATGTGTCCTTTTTTTTCTGTGTTCTTTTTCCTGAAACCCAAACAGGATTTCCTTTCTGCCCACTCTGAAAAAGGTGGTGGAGAAGACAGAATTGCAGGGGACAAGGCACCTTTCGTTTCATTAGGAATAGCCATTAAAATGTGTGAAATGTGGAATATGCTTCACTGAATGAGCACACATAGTTCACATCAACGAACACAAAAAGGAAAAAACCCATTTAAAGATATGGAGTGCAGAAAGAGCTTCTCTTTCAATGCAAAACTTAGAACACACCAGCGGACTCACACAGGGAGAAAACGTTTTATGTGCAGGGAGTGTGGGAAGAACTTCAGTCAGAGTGGACACCTCAATATACATCAACGGACACACACAGGGGAGAAACCATTTAAATGCATGGAGTGTGGAAAGAGCTTCAATCAGAGTGGAAGCCTTACAACACATCAACGGACTCACACAGGGGAGAAACCATATAAATGTATTGATTGTGGAAAGAGCTTTAGTGATAATGGAAACCTAAGGAAACATCAACGGACTCACACAGGGGAGAAACCATTTAAATGCATGGAGTGTGGAAAGAGCTTCAGTCAGAGTGGAAACCTTAGAAAACATCAACGGACTCACACAAGGGAGAAACCATTTAAATGTATCGAGTGTGGAAAGAGCTTTAGTGAAAATGGAAGCCTTAGAAACCATCAACGGACTCACACAGGGGAGAAACCATTTCAATGTATCGAGTGTGGAAAGAGCTTTAGTTTTAGTGGAAGCCTTAGACAACATCAACGGACTCACACAGGGGAGAAGCCATATAAATGTATCGAGTGTGCAAAGAGCTTTAGTGATAGTGGAAGCCTTAGACAACATCAACGGACTCACACAGGGGAGAAACCATTTCAATGTATCGAGTGTGGAAAGAGCTTTAGTTTTAGTGAAAGCCTTAGATCACATCTACGGACTCACACAGGGGAGAAACCATATAAATGCATTGAGTGTGGAAAGAGCTTTAGTTTTAGTGGAAGCCTTACAACACATCAACGGATTCACACAGGGGAGAAACCATTTAAATGCATGGAGTGTGGAAAGAGCTTCAATCAGAGCGGACAGCTCAATATACACCATCGGACTCACACAGGGGAGAAACCATTTAAATGTATGGAGTGTGGAAAGACCTTTAATGAAAATGGAAGCCTTAGAAATCATCAACGGACTCACACAGGGGAGAAACCATTTAAATGCATGGAGTGTGAAAAGAGCTTCAGTCAGAGTGGAGACCTTAGGAACCATCAACGGATTCACACAGGGGAGAAACCATTTAAATGTATGGAGTGTGGAAAGAGCTTCAGTCGGAATGGAGACCTTAGGAGACATCAACGGACTCACACGGGAGAAACCATTTAAGGGTATGGACTATAGAAGGAGCTTCAGTCAGGGTGGAACCCTTGATTTATGTCAACAGACTCACACAAAAGACAAACCATATACGGTAAATATCAGGAAAGTAGATAGAGGTTCACTCTTAGTGTAAGTTCAAAATCAACAGACTTATGGACAGGAAGAACTTTAAGAGTTTAAACCCGTCATACCATCAACAAACTCAGAGGGGAGAAGCAGTTTAAATGAAAAGACTGCAGAAAGTGCCTTCTTTATAATGGAGCATTTAAGGAACAGGGACGCGGGTGGCGCTGTGGGCTAAACCACACAGCGTAGGACTTGCCGATCAGAAGGTCAGTGGTTCGAATCCCCAAAAGGGGGTGAGCTCCTGTTGCTCGGTCCCTGTTCCTGCTGACCTAGCAGTTTGAAAGCATGTCAAAGTGTAAGTAGATAAATAGGTACCGCTCTGGCGGGAAGGTAAACGGCGTTTCCATGCACTGCTCTGGTTCGCCAGAAGCGGCTCAGTCATGCTGGCCCCATGACCCGGAACCTGTACGCCTGCTTCCTCGGCCAGTAAAGCGAGATGAGCACCGCAACCCCAGAGTTGTCCTTGACTGGACCTAATGGTCAGGGGTCCCTTTACCTTTACCTTTATTTAAGGAACATCCAGGGACTCTCACATGGGAGAACCCATTTAGATGTATGGAGTGTGGGATGTCTTCCTTTCAGAGTCCACTCTGAGCAATAAACTCAGCTGGAAATCATTCCTAAAAGCATGAGGTATATGAGAAGTTCTGGTGTTTATATGTAAAACTGTTATAATAATGAAATAGGGCAACATCTCACAATGGTGAGTATAATTTTAGATGAAAGTACCTTTGGTTTTTGCACCAAACTCTGTCACACACACACACACACACACCCCACCGCATGATCTCCAAGCACTGCTTCTTCACCAGAACTTCATCGCTGCCTCCTACCCTGCGCGTTCTGAAGAAAACTTGAAATACTGAAATTGAATGGGAGATTTCCCCCCAAGCCTAATTTCAAGAGGGGGAAGGAGGGGCTGCAGGTACCAGGAAAGTCTCCTGGGGGGCCCACCTTCATTCATGAACCCCATGGGGCAACCCCAGAGCTCCTGCTCATCCTGGGGTTTGAGGAAGATGGTCCCAGAAGTTTTGCTTCAATCATGCTACTCGGGAGTTTTCCTACCAGAGGACCACAGTGCTGTGGCTGCTGTTGTTGTCATGGACTGGCTGGGGGGGGGAGGCACCAGCTGGGGGACCAACAAGGGAAAAGGCTCAGATCCTGGGGACTGGTGGTGGGATGAGCCGAAAGAGGGAGAAAATGGAGCAGACCGGAAGGGGAGATGTTGCAAGCTGAGGAGGAAACAGGGTTTGGTGAGCAGGAAGAGTCCGGGGCAGAGAGCAATTCAGGCTCAGAGGGATGAGAGGAGGGAGCCAGGAGACCCAGAGGAGGCCGGCTACTGAAGCATCCAGGGATACTCCGACCAGCACATGCCTTTGAGTCTGGCGGTTAGAACTCTTAGAATGTGGGGATCCCATTTTTCAACCAAAGCCAAAACAAAAACAAAAACCCGCTAGCCTTTTCCCAGGTCTTTTCTGACCTGACAGTCGTTCGTCTTCTCTACGAAGGTCTCTACAAAGTCCTTCTTCCTCCCTTTATTTACCATGGGGTCCCAGCAACCTTTTCTGCCTCTTAGACTCTAGGGAAAAGAGTCCCTTTCCATTGGACGCCTGGCAGCCCAGTGCCAAATCCGGCTGCTCCAGAGAGAACGGAAAGGAACTGGAAACGCCCTTGCACTCTGACGCGCACTAGTCACTTCCTCCCGGATCCTGGTGCTGCCGGTGCAGCTGCATTTACGAGAAAAAGAGAAATTGGAAACCGAGTCCAAGTCCCTTGCTATCCAAACTGGCCACTTGGACCAGCCTTGAAGCGTCTTCCTTGGGGAAAAAGGTAAAGTTTCAGATCTCAGGTTCCCCAACAGGGAATGAGAGCTTTGATTGGCGTTCTCCTCTTGCAGTTAATTGCCTCTCTAATTGGAGAACCCCAAGTCTCCCGTTCTCCCCTCCCCCTCCTATCTACCTCTTGCCAGAAAGGCTGGGAGTGAAGACCGTAAGCAAAAGAGACAGCAAAGGATGAGAATCTGGGTTGCTGGGTGTTTCAGAGAATCCCGCCCACAATCTTCTCCATTGTAGACTCACGTCCGCATGCACTGCTCCTGGCCATCCCGAGGTCTTTTGCTAGATTAATTTATGGCCGGCCTAGGGCTGAAAATAAACTACCAAAAAAACTAAATTACTGACAAAAAACCTCACAATGGAAGGGAAAAAAAGAACTTCAAAAAAAAAAAAAACGGGCCTGGAAATTTAAAAAAAAGGTTAAATACCTAGGGATCTGGATTTCAAATAAAGTTTAAATGTATATGAGGATAATTCTAGTAAAGTATGGAAAGAAATTTTTTAAAAAAATATGGCAAACTTAGACCAAACTCCATCTCTCACTCTGGGGAAGAGTCTCAGTTGTGGAAATGAATATCCTCGCCAAAATGATTTTTCTTATTCCAAACAATACCCATCTTAGGAGAAATGAAATTGTTTTAAGGAGTGGAAAAGGGAAATATCTAGATTTATATGGAGTGGAAAGAAACCAAGAATTAAACATCAGTTATTAACAGATGAAAAGGAGAGAGGAGGTTTTGCATTGCCAGATTTGGAAATTCTACCATGCGGCGGCAGGATTGGTTTTGGATAAAAGACTGGATTACACTAAAAGATACGGACCTCTTAGACGTGGAGGCCACAAGAATCGGTCTGGATGGCACGTTTCTTTAATATATGAAAAAGTGAAGGTCCACAGGGGATTTTTGAGCCATGTGATAAGAAAATCATAAAATAAAATCTGGAATAAATATAAAGGAATACTTGAGCCAAAATACCCTTGTGGACATCACCAAGAGAAGCCATATACTCATGTCAGAATATTTACAACTAGCAAAACTGACGGGAAGAGTTAGAGGAGTATTGAACCAGAAAATATCTGGAGAAGGGAGAATATTTAAGGATTATATAAGATCATATTGCATCCAACCACAGACCATATTAGCAGAACTTGAGTGATACTTGTAACCACAACAAATACTGTTTGTGGAGTAGGACTGGAAACAATATTAAAGAATATAAAACTGTGTTGGAAACCCAATGGCAGTATAAACAGTACAATGAGAATGATGGAAGACAACGTTTTGTCAGAAGTCTTTTTTATTTAATTAGGAAGATTAAGATTTTTCATGCACATAAATCTGCTTTTTCTTCTTTCTTATTCTGTATTTCTTCTTTCCTTTTTTCTTAATTGTTTTTCTTTAATTTTCTTTTTTGCAGTAATGAGATTGCAAATTATTTATATATGTGATAATTTAAATCAATAAAGATTATTTTAAAAAATTAATCAATTTGGTGGCCGGCCTGATCAAGCGTTGCTTCCTCTTGTTAGCCCCGCTGGAACTCCAGTTCTTTCCAGACCCTGGGGTCACTAGAGGACTGGTGGCTCCTCCTGGCAAATGGTCTGGTGCGCGCTGGATCACCAGTCCTTCCTTGCCCCACCCTTGAATCCGGCAACCGAAGGTCCCAACTGGGGGTGCCATCTGTTGTAAACAAAAGCTGCCCTTCTTCCTTATGGGGGACACAAGAGCCCCTTTATAGAGTCCTTGTAGTTCTCCATCGGTAGGAGAAACAACTGAGGCCAACCAGAGAATATTGAGAAGCAAAGCAGCTAGCAAGCTGATCTCTATTGATCTGCTGCAACAGGGTGCTCCCTCACACACAGAGAAGGAGGAGGACCCAGAACAAAGGTGTGCCTGTCTTTATATAGACATTTTAAATTCCCTGCCCTGGAGACTCAAGACCACCCCCACATACCATCTATACCTACATCACAGAAAAGGTGGTCCTACAACAGAAATTTGAATGTTGTCATTTTTCTGTCTGCCAGGTTATCTGATAATGGCTTATCTGATTCCCTTTCCTGGTAGTCTGGTCATACCTTTGAGATGGTGATTTCCCATTCCTGAGACAATGGGAAGGTTCCCTCACCCCCTCCCTCCTTGCAGAAGAAAACGTTTGGTCGTTTGGGAGTCTAAATGGTTTCAGGGCGGTCTTCCTGTGCCTGCTCCAGACATGTGGTCCACATATCTATGGAATGTGCTTGCTTGCTCCACATTTATTGAACATCCTTATTTATATCATATTAAGACCCTTAATTTTTTTATTACAGGATTCATCCAATCCAGCCTTTCGCATGATGAATTCTGCATATAAGTTAAATAAGCTGGGAGACAATATACAGCCTGCGTACTCCTTTCCAATTTTGAACCAATCAGTTGTTCCATATCCAGTTCTAACTGTAGCTTCTTGTCCCACAAAGAGATTTCTCAGGAGACAGATGAGGTGATCAGGCACTCCCATTTCTTAAGAACTTGCCATAGTTTGCTGTGGTCAACACAGTAAAAGGCTTTTGCATAGTCAATGAAGCAGAAGTAGATGTCTTTCTGGAACTCTCTAGCTTTCTCCATAATCCAGCGCATGTTTGCAATTTGGTCTCTGGTTCCTCTGCCTCTTCTAAATCCAGCCCACACCCCCCCAGTGCTTTTCTTTGTGGCTGATTAGCTGTTCTCCCTGTGCAAAGGTCAGAGGGGGCAGGGTTTCTGTTGAGGCAGGTGATTAGCTGTGGGAAGAGCTTATCAGAGCTAGCAGGGCAGCACAGTTTGATCCATCTTTTAGATTTAGGGGAGCTAGTCTCAAACGTTTGTTGGGAGACCTAGGTTTTTTTTTGGTGTGGGGGGAGTTATTTGTCCTGTCTTCATGCTATTTATGATGGAGGACCGCTGTAGCCACCCCCACGACACATTCTCAAGATGGAGGGGAGGGAACAGCTGCAGTCGCCTGCGGTTCCTGCGCAATGTTTTTTTTTTTTATAAAATTTTTATTGGTTTTACAAAATTTTTAAAAACAAACAAACACTTAAAAAGACATACAAACACGTATAATTTCATAATATTTTTCCATAAACTTCTTTTCCGGGACTCCCCCATACCCCCCTTTCTGCATCCCAATGACCATAATTTATAGCAACTCCCAATTATTCCTTTCCAACCTCTGTCATCTTAGTCTTTCTATATTCTGACCTTATGTGACTGTATCCCTTTATTCCTAAAAAACATTGTAAAATTAATGAATGCTAGAAGGATGCTGGAATGAAGTTACATGGTTTTAGCAGAAATGTTTTAAAAGAACTAAGTAAAAATGGATTGTTAATGGGCCAAAGTGTAAAATTTAAGGTCAGATTGTGTAAAAATTGGAGAAAGTGGAAAGGATTTGCTGAAATAGCTAATTGAATTAGAATACAAAAAAGGGAGGTGTGAGGAGGTCGATGAACAAGTAAATGAAAGACAAAGATATGGAAATATTGGATGTGTTTTTAAATGTTTTTGTTTTCTTATTGTTTTGTTGTATTGTTTTTAAATTTTGCTTTTTATTTTTGAAGTATTGTAACTTTTTGTTATCTTTTTTTTTCTTTTTTCTGTAACTCTTAAACTTTTAATAAATATCATTTAAAAGAAAAAGGAGTACCCTTCTGAGAAAAACCCCACCCCACCCTCCCACAATATACAAGGGTCTGGTGACATCTGTGTCAGTGTATCTGAAGACGTGCACATGCACACGAAAGCTTATACCTAGAACAAACATAGTTGGTCTCTAAGGTGCTACTGGACTATTTTTTAATTTTTATTTCAACTGCGTCAGACCAACCCGGCTACCTACCTGAATCTAGATGTCATGGGGTGCTGGGGAGCAGTAGTTCCTTTGGTGGGGGACATGTCCTGCACCTCCTGGGGTCATTTTTCCACCCTTGGTGCCCACCCTGCACTCAGCTCTCACCTGTGGCTTCCAGAAGCTGTCAGCATGCAACAGGGGTTCAAGCAACAGCTTCAACCGGCCGGCTAAACCAGGTCAGGAAAAAATCTGT